CCGCCCCTGAGCCTCTGGCCTGTACTCTAGTTCTGTATGTACAAATAAATAAATCTTTAAAAAAAAAATAAAAGAAAAAGAAAAAGGAAAAATGAGAATTAAAACTAGTAGTTCCCAGGGTCTGTTTAGTGATTAAACAAAATAACATACACGGAATACCTAGTAAATACCTGACAGTATGTTAGTAATTATCATTATTATCATCACTATTATTTTAAGAGGAAGACAGAAGTTACAGGGGTTCAAATGATCAGCAAGGTAAATCAGTGAGTTATAAACTGTCCTTTATAATCAATCTAATTCCTTCTTTTATAATTTCAGACTCCAGAGCCTAACTGTAATTAACTCATCGACTCTCTGTAATAAATGCGGATTTGTCTACAGTTGACTGGTGGAAAAAGCAGTCTCAGGCCCTGCTTAGCCCAGTGTGAGCTGAACACCAAGCTCCATGAGCTCGTGGGTTGAGATAAAGTTTCCTTGGCCTGGAGACGCTGCCCAGCCCACTCCATGCCTGCATGACTAACCCCATGTAGGAAGTATTGAACCATGCAGGGCAGAGAAAATCTTGCTGAGCAAGAAGCAGGATATAGTAGCCGGAGGTTATTACAATGTGGTATGAGTATAAAGCATCCTGACCAGGAGTCAAGATCAGAGTTCTAGTCCCGGGCATGAATGCATGTTAAATCTACTTGCTAAAAAGAGCTTCCTTGCTTTCCAGCATAAATATTTGTCTCTTGTCATTTTTTTTAATGTACAATTGAATTCATTAAAAAGGACTATATGGGGCCTTACTGGTGGTGCAAGGTGTTAAAAGTGCAACACTATGAAGCTATCCAAAGGTAACTGCAGCACCGTTTGATCCCCGGCCAGGGAGCTGACCCACATGGCCTACAGACCTCTCCTGACCCACCCACTGATGGTGTATTTTACTGATTTGCCTGTTCTGCTTCCCATTTTGTCTCTAGTGAACCCTCTCATCCCCCACCCCTCTGGCCTGTACCCTAGCTCTTTTATGCATAAATAAAATCTTTTAAAAAAGGTCTATATGAAACATTAACTGTAAAATACAGTAGTATCATAATTATGAAGTCACCCTACCCGCATCCCCGCAAGAACTAGAAAATTACCAGTACCTTGCATCATTTACGTAGCCCTCACCTACTTATGTATTTCAGCTCTCTGCCTGCCTCACTTACTCTGCTCCCCTTCACCTCCTGCAACAGTTCATTTTCACCCCACCTCCTGACTGGCCTGCTGCAGACACTGTTGCTCCTAACAGGGACCCTCCCTTCCACACTCCAGCAAGATCTCTTTTCTCACCTTCTGAAACAGTGGCAGCCTGTTTGCCATCTTGCCTTTCTAGTTATTCATGCTTTCTAACCTTCAGGCTCATTCTCCAATAACCCGCCCGTGGGAACTTCTCAAAACTCCATCCACGGCCCTCAGCTTCCTCTAACCTACCCTCTCTGCTTCAGTTACAGACTATACACAGAGGGTCTCCATGCTAACATCTCCAGCCCTATTGCTCAGTGGCACATCTCTGCTGATAATCTACTGTATATCCTGATAATCTACTGTATATCCAAAAACAAACTCATCTTCTTCCTCTAACCATCTGCTTGCAGCATTCCCTGGCCCAGCGAAGGGCACAATCTCCCCTCACTTCCTAAGTCAAAAACCCTCGCATCACCCTTAACACATCCTTTTCCCAGAGTCACTTCCTACCTATTTCAGTCAGGTCATTCAGCTGCACCTACTTCTCCAAAGTCAGCAGAATCTGTTGGATCTATGCCATCATCACCATAATCCAAGCTGTGCCAAGGTACTCTCTCTACTCCTGGGTTGGCGGAGAACTCAGGACGCATTTTTTCTGTTTTCCAAATATATCATGACTTTTCCAACAACCCAACAGAATGATTCTCATAGTGTTTTCTGCAACCAACAAGTTCCACGAGCTCTGCCTTTCTGCAGTTTCTGCTTATTCTCCCATCTTAGATCACTCTTATTTCCTTGGGAGAGACTTCCTCACCAGGCCTAGCTCTCTTAATATACATTCTTCTTCTACTGTGTCTTCAGCATTTATCACCATTATAATTTAATACTCACTTGTAAAATCTTTATTAATGTCAACATCCCTTACCGGAGCTCCACAAGGACAGGAAAGGAGTATTTTTCTTCTTACTACTGCATGCCAAATGCACAACAATGTGCCATGCCTTTAGTTGTCACTTTAAAAATTGTATTTGTTGAGAGTTCTCCCTGGTGGCGCAGTGGGTTAAAGCACAGCACTAAGAAGCTAAAGCCACTTCAGCACAAGTTCAATCCCCGCCTGTCCCAGAGGTGACCACATGGCGTGGCAGACCTCTCCTGACCTACCCGCTGCTCCCCTCAGCAGTCAGCCTGCTCCTCACTCTCACTGCCCCTGCACCTCTGGTCTGGACCCCAGTTCTGTATGCATAAATAAATAAATCTTTTTAAAAAATGTATTTGTTGAATGAACAAGTGACACTGCACAGATAAAGACCACCCAGAGGGTGGGAAAGAGGGATTCATAAAATAGCCTTTCCAACAGTCTCTTTTTCTTATTTAATCTATTTTGACTGAGCATCGTCTTGGTTTTTAATTTTGTTTCCCAAGTAAATCAGTGTTAGTAATGCAATCAGAAAAATTCCTGTGCCCCATGACCCAACGAATAAAGGACCAGCACCCTGGAATCAGTTAGACGGGCTCCAGCTCTGGCACCAACCAACGGAACGACCTTGCAAAAGTCACCTGAATGCTGAGCTCAGTTTTCTTCTTTCTTTCTTTTTTTATTTTTTATTTTTTTTTTTTAAGATTTATTTATTCGTGCATACAGAACTGAGGTACAGGCCAGAGGCTCAGGGGCGGTGAGAGGCTTCACCAGAGACAGAGTGGGGAGCAGAACAGGCAGATGGACGAAGTACACTGCTGAGGGGAGCAGCGGGCGGGTCAGGAGAGGTCTGCCACGCCATGTGGTCACCTCCGGGGCGGGCGGGAATCGAACTCATGCGGAAGCGGCTTTTAGATTCTCAGTGCTGTGCTTTAACCCGCTGCGCCACCAGGGAGGGCCTCTTTTTTTATTTCTTAAAGATTTATTATTTATGCATACAGAACTGGGGTACCAGCCAGAGGTATGGGAGGGTTAGTGGATGCACCAGAGTGGGGAGCAGAACAGGCAGATGTACTGAAACACACTGCTGAGGGGAGCAGCCAGAGGGTCAGGAGAGGTCTGCTGCGCCATGTAGGTCATCTCCCGGCTGGGGATCGAACTTGTGTTGCAGTGGCTGTGGCAGCTTCAAATTGCTGCACTTTAAACTGCTGTGCCACCAGGGAGGGCCCAGTTTTCTTATTTCTAAGATCGAGAAAAGATACTGAACATCTGACACATGAGATTAATGATCCCCAGTAAAATGCAGACACAACACATCACCTGGGTTCCTTGTGTTACTATTATTTTAACTATTGCTATTCTTGGTTTACTAATACCATCATCACCAAAGTTTACACTAATCATCAGAGGGCTCTTTAATAATTAGCATTCTACTATGCTGCTAATGATGAACAAGTTTCTTTTTGAAAAATACCCTCTCATGAAACTGTTACATGAAGGCCCTAAGGGCCGAAGCTGCCAATGAGCTGCATTTCTGAAAAAGCATTCTTAGAAGAACGTGGCCAAAGGCCCTAGTGGGCATTGTTTTGTTGAATGCCACATCTTTGTTATCTGCTCTGGCATTTTTCCAAGGCTTCTTGGTGTGTGAGGAATGCAGAGAAAATCTGAAGTAAACTATACTAAGTTATATTTTAACTCTGTAAGTATAAGGGACCCCACTTCAATCTTTCTGCATCACCTCTGATTTGACTTCTGGCCCAAATACATGACATAGGAGGGAGTTTACTGTTTGGCGCATTCCTGTTCTCCTGACCAGTGACCAGGCTGAACAACTGGGCTACCTTGGCTCCAGCAGGCCTTGTTCCACTCCCCAAGCCATCTCCCTCACGGCGTTGCTGATCTCGTGACGGGACGTGTACGCGAAGCAGACATTCAGAAAACACCTGAGAAGGCAAGAACCATGAGGGGGCAGATTAAGGACAGCGTCGCAACTGGGTTACGGAGCACCCTACCTTCCCTGGAAGAATAAGCCCGTACCAAAATGCTAACCTGGGTTCCTCTGAAAAGAAAGATTATGAATTTCTTGTGTTTTCCAACATGGGCCCTCCCTGGTGGCACAATGGGTTAGAACAGAGCACTGCAAGCTAGCCACAGCTGCTTCAGTGCGAGTTCGATCCCTGGCCTCAGAGGTGACCCACATGGCGTGGTAGACCTCTCCTGTCCCGCCTGCTACTCCCCTCAGCAGTGTACTTCATTGATCTGTCTATTCTGCTCCCCACTCTGTCTCTGGTGAATCCTCTTACCATCACTGCATCTCTGGCCTGTACCCCAGTTCTGTTTGTATAAATAAATAAATCTTTAAAAAAAAAAAACTTCAATAAACAAACAAACATGGTGTTAGATTCGGTCACAATGAATATTAAATCAGTCTTATTACCCTCCTAACCTTCTCTTCCACTGCCAATCAGCTTTCAGAGGATGCAAATTTGCACAAATGAGAACAGGGAAGAAATTTGGGGAAAAGTAAATCCACTGCCAAACCTACATTATATTCCAGAGTCACACGTCATGCAGTCTGGTTACTGAACTCTGCTCCCCTCTGTCTGTATAACTCATCCCACCCATGGGTTAAAGGTAGGACAGAAAAAGCATTTCTGGAAAGCCTACTGCAATTCCCATCCCATTCTCTGTCAAGCCTCTTACACCAAATACAGACTGTGTCTCCCTAAAGCTAGCATGGAGTAAAAGATTGCCACAGGTCCCGAGAAGAAACCTGAAAACTTACTTGTTATAGTTCTTGGTGGCCCGCACAGCTTGGGCAATCAGCTCCTGCAGATCCAAGGGCAGCAAATGGAGATCACCCAGGACGCGGATACACACCCCGTGCTTCTGCAGTTTGTCCCTGGTTGGGGGAGAGAATGGGGTTGGGACAGAGCAGCTGAGCTGGAGAGAGCAAGCACGAGAGGCACTGCACTGCAGGTGGGGAGCGCCTTCCTGTGTGCCAGGCCCGGCCCTGTAGGTATTCCTCCATGTGTCTCCTCGACAGCTCTGAAGAGTTCCCTACATTCCTCCCTTTACTGCAGGAAACCGAGGCTCCCTCAGCATAGTCAGAGGGGATTGCCCAAGGTCATGCAGCCATCAAATGCTTGTCAGGTCTGTCTGATTTGAGAACCCAAACTCTTTGCCACACACTGAAAAGTCTCACGTGTGTAATACACCTGCGAGTTGCAAGTTATGTGTTCTGTAGTATGTTTGTCCCACTTTGACAAGTGAATAAACTCCTCAGGGCAGGAGCTGTATTATTAGTTCCTTCTGTCTCTTCTGGTTAAATGCCATATAGAGACATCTAATGTTAGTTACAAGTTTACTAAGAGCCAGACACTGGGTATCACCCCCCTTTATAGATGGAGAAAATAAGGCTCAGGGAGGCTAGGTGATTTGCTCAAGATCAGGCCACTTGTGAGTAGAAAGCCAGAATTTGATGCTACAAATCTGGCTCCAGAGTCTATCCCCTTAATCACAGCAGCTGGGTATCACTCCCAAACTCTATCCACTGAGCTAGAAATCACTATCACCCAACTGTTTCAATGCAAAGGCTGTGACGAATGGAATGACCAGCACTGGAAACAGGAGCGTACCATCACTGTGGGTTTGGGTGTCCAGCAGGTCCCAGACACATTTATTCTCCAGCACATTTCCTCAAGAGTAAAGCAAGATCTCATCACCTAGTTTTGAGAACCCACTGGAATTACTGGCAAATACCTACTCAAATCAAGGCTAACTTTGAAAACTACCTGGATTCAAGTCCCAGTGGGACCACTTACTGGCTGCCTGACCACACAGGGTGGCTGGTGCTGAGAGCAGGCATGTGAAGATGCTCATTCTCAGCCCGGGGGCATGACCTGGGCGAGTCTGCAGAGGAGACCTGGTGGGCAGTCAGGAGACCTGGGTTCCTGACCTGGCTTTGCCACCAGTTTACCATGTGACCCTGGGCAAGCCTTTCTCTTCTCAATGCAAGGCTTCAGCTTCCAACAAATGAAAATGAACAAGGCGAGTGATTTTCCAACTTTCTTTTAGCCAAAGAACTATTTCTTCCAACCAAATCTTAAACAGAAACCAAGTGCGTGAAATAGGTAAATGCATACCGGTATCCTATATCCTAATTGCTCTGGGTTCTATTTCCATCCTGCTTGTACAGCCACTCCTCAGAACTGTGGGGTTCTGTCTGTTGCTGGAAAACCACTGCTAGAATCTCTTCTTGCTCCATCCATGGCTTCATGATAACCTAAGACCATTATTACTGGCAGATTAGAGCGATCTCAGCAGCAACTTTAGGGACATGCATTTTGATCTTTTGGGAACTGTGAGACTGCAGAGTAGAAGACAACAGCTCAGCTCTGGAGTCAGAGAGATGCAAGTATGCAAGTTACCCCTGCTTCCCTGATAGATGTATGACCCAAGGTGTATGCCCAGACTTCCCCAGATTTTACTTTCCTCCTTTCCATAACTAGGCTAATATTATCGTTCTCATGATAAAATATAAAATACATGTTAGGCCCAGGGCCTGGCACACAGTATAAGCACTTAGAAGAGGTGACAGTCGTGTGAAGTGCAGAAGAATCTGAACACCTGGAATGAGCCCCACATCTCCACCTTTCTCCTGGTGTGGGAACTCAATGTCACACCAATCTGCACAGGGACAGAAGTGACAGAAGTACTCTAGACCCAGTGCTGCTAGAGCGCGAGGCTCTCTTTATCATCTTCCTGGTCCTACAGGAGAAGAAGCTGGGCAGTGAATAGCTAGAATGAAGCCATGAACAGTCCTAGCTCGACCCAATTCCACTTTGAAGCCATCCAACCAACTTCCTCTTCGTACCTGTCGAGATGTGCTAGTGAAGTTAAACTGACGCTAAGAGTCTGACTGAAGCTATAGCTAAGACGGGGTCTGACGCTTCCCATAAAGGCCTTTTATGCATCATCCAGGAGACATGCGGGGACTACAGTACCTTTAGGGATGAGTGCACAGCAGAAAATGACTTTTTCAACATTTCTTTCACTCTATCCCCCTGGCCACATTAATTAGCCCTACGGTAGAAACTGGTTGGCCAGTGAAGGCATATGGTTCATTCTGGGCCATTCTCTCGAAGTAGAGAGATCTGGTTCATAGAGCAAAGGAAGTGTGTGAAGAGAAAATATCTAATGGATTTCAAAACTTCACTTTAGTTTTCCTTAAGACTGGCTGTACTTGTCCTCAAATTCTGTGAAATAGTTCTACTGGAAAAAAAAATGAAAACCAGGGGCCCTCCCTGGTGGTGCAACAGGTTAAAGCCCAGCACTATGAAGCTAACCACAGCCACTGCAGCACGAGTTCTATCCCTGGCCAGGGAGTGACCCACATGGCGCGGCAGACCTCTCCTGACCCGCCCGCTGCTCCCCTCAGCAGTGTACTTCGTCAATCTGCTGTTCTGCTCCCCACTCTGTCTCTGGTGAGTCCTCTCACCCCCACACCTCTGGCCTGTACCCCAGTTCCTGCATGCATAAATAAATCTTTTTTAAAAAACAAGAAAAATCAGCTTGCGATGAGATCAGTACAAGATTACAGAGCTCCTGTGAGAAGCCTCGCATGAGAAAGCTGAGGGTCAGGGAATGAGGGAGGTGGTAGAAGAACATGCTCTGCCCTCTGTCAGCATCTTACTGTTCTTCCATCAAGCGTGTGAACTTCTGCCGGGCCAGATCCATGAGCCCGTCTACCTCACTCTTGGAGCGTTTGAAGTTCTCAATGCTGAACGCGTAGACCGTCACCTCTAGGATGCCCAGGTTCAAACACCAGCGCAGAGTCTGAGAGGGGTGCAAGGAAGAGCGGGCAGGGAAGTGAGATGCCTCGACTCCCATACGATGCTGAAGGGAGGAGACAGACTTTCCTCCTCCCCAAAGCCTAAAACTAGGATATCACCAGCGCTTCTGTCAGGTTAATAAACCAAATATACAGAAAGCCATCACTTGAGAAACTAAAACATTAACTTAGAGAATGCTACTATGCTGACACTGCTGTGGTCTTCTGGAAAGAGCTCTTTGTCCAGAGCCAGAGTCGAGGCTCCCGTCCCTGTCGCCATCATGCACTTGCTATGTGACTGAAGGCAAATCATTCAATCTCTTTGGGCCTAAAGCTCCTTACTGGTAAAATGGGATCAAAATCCGTACCTCACAAAGTGACTAACAAATAATATAAAATTACAAGGTGTTATTACTCACAGCATAATGTCATTATTTTGTAGACTGAGAGGTTGATGAATTATAGGAATAAAAGCAACAAGTGCACAGCTGTGTAGAATTTCAGTCTGCAAAGGGTTTTCACATACATTTCATGAATTCTTCAAACAACCACTTGAAAATGACATTTTTTCCAAGCCTACATAAAACTCAGGTATAGAGAGTAGAAGAAATGTGTCAAAGTCTACAATGCTACACTCTGGATTCCTTATATGAAATTCTAGAACAGCAAAAATTCATCTGCAGTGTATGTATTCAGAACAGTGGTTGCCTGGACAAGTGAGAAGAAGTTGGTTCAGGGTTTGACGAGAAAGGCACACTAGGGAACCTTCTAGAGAGGAAACAGATAAATGCCATTGTAAAAACTCAAAATCTGTGTATTTCACTATGAAATTTTACCTCAATGGAAAAAAAAAGGTAAAAATCAAACTTGATCCTTTAGAGTATTCCAACTCACAACGTCTAAAGGAGAACAAAATGGATCTGAGAGAACAATTTTGAGATGGAGGGCCTGGGAGTTAAAAGTAGGGGACTGAAGAAAATCCAGAAGCACTGAATAGAGAAGAACAGCTGCCTTGCTAATCTTGTAACATACACACAGACACACCCTGACTCACTGCTACATCAGGAAAATTACCAATGAGTGGCTGACACCTGAGCGGGTTCTGGCCCCACAGAGCTTCTACACAGGGATACCACAGTTGGCGAAGATCCCGCCACTGACGTCAGTCAACACATCTGCTAATAATAGCTTCGTTCTTTGAGCACTTACTTTACTCCCGGTCCTGTGCCAATGCTTTCCACTGTGTTGCCTTGTTTAATCCTCAAATAATCTCCTGAGGTAGGGACTATCACTATCTCCATTTTACAGGTGAAGACACTGAGGCAAAGAGAAGCTACACAACTCGCTGGAGGTCACAGAGCCAGGAAGTGGCAGAGTAGGAGTGCAGCGAGTTCTGAGGGACTCCAGAGCTTCAGCTTCTAAGCACAAGGCAACACTGTCTCTGATCCAGTCATGAAGAGCAGCTGGGGTCAACAAGCCTAAAAGCCACCCCTGCAGAGAGAACCTCAGTAGGCCTATCGCTCTCCACCTGTGGAAAGAAACCCACAGGCCCTGAAGGCAAAGAACATCACTGCCCACCATTGCACTGTGCTCTTGTGCCAGTGAGCTGAGACGTGGGGGCTGCGGGCCATAATTCCATTCTGCTGTTAAATATAATGTTTCCCAATTTGCAATATGTATTAAAGGCACAGGATGTTCATGACCTTTGCTTACAGTGATGTCCTGGGTTATCTGGCATTCTCCCCAGTTTAAGCACTGAAAGGCCTGTGTCTTGAGAAGCTAGCTGGCCTCAGGCAAACCAGGAAGGGTAGTCACCCTTTGCTTTGCATCACAAATAGCACTTCTGGGAACTTATTCTGCAATAATACTATTTATAAATGTTTATTTATAAATGTTCAATAGAGCAGCTAAACAAATTATGTCACATCCGCATGATAAAATATTCCAAAGTCATAAAGTCAAAGTTAAAACATACAGTTAGAAAGTCTATCTATCTACCTAAAAAAATACTTGCCAAAATGTCAGGTAAAAATAAGATTATCACTTTTAGCAATTTCATCAATGCTAAGTCACATTAGGACATATCACAAAGACTGGCACAAGGCACAGGAAACTATCAACTGTTGATTTATTATGGTGGTAGAAGAGACAATTTTGTTCTTACTTCTAGTATTTAATTTTTTAATGCTGAGATGTCAGCAATAATAAAACACACAAGCAGCTATAAACAAACATCAACACTCACAAACCACAACAAACTCAGGGCCTGGGCTGCTGGCCACCATCCAATTCTCTAGACTCTTCCCCTTGGGTCCTGCTGCCCATACCCACCTCAGCCAGCTTGTTGAAGCCCTGTGAGTGGCCCTCCTGCCGTTCCACTTGGCACTTTCTGGCATAGCGGCGGTTTCCATCCATTATAAACGCAATGTGTTTGGGCATTGGCCCCGCCTGTGAAGGAGACAAGGGATGAGCGGCCATGTATCCTCCAGGACAAAGGAGACACCTCACCTTATGCTGAAAGGACTGAGCTAAAATAAAAGCCTTGAGGAAGGACATTGGGTATTATGTCTTTTTAGTTCAATACATGGGTAGTAAGCACTTTTACTTATGTGTTTATTGAACACTAAACTTAGTGCATGCCAGGAACTATACTGTACTTCTTATATGTCACTTTACTTATTTTTATCATATGAACATGTAAAACAAACAGTATTATCTTCATTTCATAGGTTAAAAAAATCCTGCATCTCTGAAAGGTCAGGAGACTTGCACAAGTCACACCATGAAGCAGCAGGAAAGTGGAGATTCAAGCTGGGGTCTGTTGCTTTTAGACTTATTGTTAACCAGACTCTTCCCCACTACCTTGGTTTCACTCGTCCTCTGGAAGGCACAGGCAGGAGAGTAACAGTGTAGAAAGATGCAGAGGGCGCCCTCCACGTGAAAGATGCCCAAGTTTGGTACAAGGTTCCTTAGTTCCACCCAACTGCTCTTGCTAGGGCCTAGGATTGTTCTAATTTTGTTGTCTAACAGCAGGATTTTTATAAAAACTTAAATATCAGGAGCCACTTCAGAAAAAAAAAATTGGGGAGGGGGGCAAAATATCTAAAATTCACCCCTTACTTCATTTTCCCTCTGTGGAGGGACTCCACTGCTTCTTCCCCCACCCTCCCCAACATTTTCTACTTGCACCCCCCACACGCTGTCTTCTAAAAAAGTCTCAATCAAGTCATCCAGTATGTTCTTCCCAACACGTCTATAGTGGCTCCCTGTGGAATTATTGTCCGTTTCCAACTGCTTGAGATCACTTGGCATTTGGATGTGTGAGTGTGTGGGTAAGTATAAGGTTTGCTGCCTTGTAAGTTCATTGCTACCTGCTGCTTGACAACCTGTGGCTGAAAACAAAACCGAGGGCCCTCTCTGGTGGCACAACGAGTTAAAGCTCAGCAATGTGAAGCTGTCCGAAGCCACTTCAGCACAAGTTGGATTCCTGGCCAGGGAAGTGACCCACATGGAGTGGCAGACCCTTCCTGACCCACCCACTGGTCCCCTCAACAGTGTATTTTAGTACATCGGCCTGTTCTGCTCCCCACTCTGCCTCTGGTGAATCCTCTCACTCCCCCGCACCTCTGGCCTGTACCTCAGAAAAATCTATAAAAAATCTATAAAAAAAAGAAAGAAAAGAAAAACAAAACCAAGCTGAATGACACTGTGACTCCCAGAGAAAGAGCTATGGAATATTTGGGAAAGCAAAGGGCATGTAGGAAATAGAGTGACCACAGTCTTCAAATGACTGAAAAGCTGCTCCTATAATACTAATTAACATGTGAGACATTTTGTTCGGTGTTTTTTCTGTATACTTCACTTAACCCTTGAAAATACCATATCAGAGGTGGGAAGAGTGCAATGGATTCTGATGATGCCACACGGGTGAATTGGTGATGAGAAGCCCATGGGGATTACAACTGAGATGAAAAAATGCACAAAATGAAGAATGTTTAAAAATATAAAATAACCAAAAAAAAAAAAACCCCAAAACATATCAGGGGCCCTCCCTGGTGGTGTAACAGGTTAGGATGCAGCACTGCAAGCTGCCACATCCCCTTCAGGGCGAGTTCTATGCCCAGCCCTGGAGGTGACCCACAGGGTGTGGCAGACCTCTCCTGACCCACCCACTGCTCCCCTCAGCAATGTTCTTTGTTGATCAGCCTCTTCTGCTCCCCTCTGTCTCCGGTGAATCCTCTCACCACCCCTGCACCTCTGGCTTGTATCCCAGTTCTGTATGCATAAATAAATAAATCTTTAAAAACAGAAAATACCATATCAAGGGATAATGAATGATAGTGTGGTGCTTTCAACTGATGACTGCCTCCAGAGCTCAAACTCTCTACCAATATGCTCTACTGCCACATCAAAGAAAGATAATTATTCATCTAAATTCAGAGGTTAGTAACAAAAAGACAACAGATCAAAGTTCGACATAATCAAATTTCAGTTTCTACAAGACTGCATTAACAATTTATACTGCAAAAACAATATTAGCAACTCTGGGACTTCCAGAAAACATAAGTTAGGACAATAAACTGCCAAAGAGGCAGACCTGGAAACTACCTCCCCCAATTCCAAGATTCTTTAGTTGCATCACTAAATTCCATTCAATGGGCTACTCATGTTTAATAAGTTTGGTACAAGATTACCGTAGTCACCAGAAAAGCACCAACTGGTGCTGTGGGTCTCTCCTCACCTTTATGATGCTGGCACAGAGCCACTCCCAAAATGTCAGCTCTCCTTCCTTGATCCATGACATAATTCTTGCTCTAGCAGAAGATAAGCTCTGAACAAGGCGCCAGCCAGGTAACCCTGGATAAGCAAGAATCAGGTGTCACCAGACCAGAGGTTGCAGACCGCTTCGGTGATTTCTGGGGAATCACCTCGACTGTGGTAGCGAGCAAGAGCATCCAAAGGCAAGCGTCTACGACTAATCTTTCAGCTCCCAGCATGTAAGCCAATGGGACGATGGGGGCAGAGGCCTTTCCTCGGTTCTCCTGGCATAGTGGACCTTGCTCCCACCCCTTCCTCAGTACACACACCGACCTCTTCTGAACGTCAACACAGGCTTCTTGTCACGTCGTGGTGCCTAGAGATTGACCCTTCTCCGCTGCTTCCTCCTCCTCTTCCCCCAGGACGTTTCCCACTCTGCACTCGGGGTCACTCACCTCTTTAGATGTCGCACCCGATACCGCCTACCTCAGTGGTCTTCCAATTAATTACCCCCTCATGTGTCACTTCCACTGCCCCCTCCTTCTCTCCCAATGCTGCCTCTCCCAGTCACCTCGGTCTCCTCTCCTTCACCGGATCGGCTGCGTCCGGCACCCTTTTACTGCCCCAGCGGGCCCCCACTTCCGCACGACGTGGCGCAGGAGGAATACGTCATCGCTGGGCGCAAGGACACGTCCCCTCCCGCCACCCAATGGGCGGGGCCTCGCTTGCGCCGCGGGCTCGGAGGCGGAGCTAACTCGCGCTTGGGGACTCGGAGCGGGTCCTAGGGGCAGGCCAGCTCACGTGACCGAGGGAGTCGGGGTTCCGCCACGTGCTGGGGGACCCAGCTGGGGCCAGACCATCTGGGCGTGCCGAGATGTGTAGATTTATTTGGGTGGCCTCAGGCAGGCTGCGTTACAGGGCGTTAATTCGGGGAGCCGTGTCAGAAACGCAAAGGCGTCGCCGCGGTGGTGGTGGTCAGGTAGGGTCCTGCTAGCCGGGAGGCCGTGGAGCGCCGCAGAACTGGGCTGTAAAGCCATGCCAGGGATCTTTAAAATTGTGCTTTTACTGTTTGCTGTCTCATTTAGTGATTTCACCGATTGCTGGGGTCCTAGCCCAGTCTCAGAGATCCACTTGATATTAATCTATTTCGTGCTAAAGCAAGGCACTCACACTTTAGGATCTGCGAATACTCAGATCTACCCAAAGGGGGAAAAATGGGTAAAGTCAGAAGGAACACCGCCCAAAGAAAGACAGGAAGGTCTTTGGTAAACCCTGATAGAAAAATAAGGGGCATTAGTGCTGTACCAAAGCTTTAGGGAAAACCTGTAGAAATATGAGGGACTGACAGTGGGAAATGGCGCTTAATATTCTCAGAAGTGCAGTAATAAAACCTTTAGTTTTTAGTTTTTAGACGATTCTTAAATCGTCTTAATAGTTTCTCTTTGCAGTCTCATTAAGGCAACAAGAGTTAAAGCACTGGTGACTTGCAACCGATTGTCTTCCTTCCAACCTCTGATGAAAGGGTTCCACCAGATCAAAGGCCCTAGAGATGAGTAGCCCATCCATGAATAGTCTTAAGCTTTTCCAGCCTTCCTGTTTTATATCCTGGGAAGTGCAGTTTGCCCCTTGTGATTACTTCAGTTTGCAGGAAGACCATTTGTTGAATCCCAGTAGTTCTTTGCTGTTTTCAGCAGCTCAAGGTCAGCATTGACTTTGGTACAAAACTCAGCTGGATACAAGAAACGTGGGAGTGGATATAAGAAACATACCCTTGTTCCTGGGGTCTTATTGCACTTTGTGTAATGGTGGGTGGGTAAGTCCTCCTTTAAGGGGAGCTAAATGTTTAAAATTAGTGTTCACTAAAAGACAAGCAAACTTGGACTTTCATAAAATGTTGATATGTTTATAGCTGTTCAGTGTATTCCTCTGGCCTCAATTTCTCTAGTTCCACGTATTTCCCTCCCTGGGGTGCCACAGGGGGTTAATTAATTAAGATTTGTAAAGGGCTTTGTGGACTAGGGAATAATGTATTATTAGGGTCTCATGCCCCAAACCATGGCCCCATCCTTTCATCCCAGCTAGTGGCACAGGCAACCCCATTCTTATGCATGCCAAGCTCCTAATCCCCTCTTGAATGTGGCAGTTTCCAAGGAAGGACAAGAGGCCTTAACTAGAAACAAAAATCCACTGTAAAAGAGGTGCTAAGAGGGCTGAACTTTCAAGAGTGATTCCTGACAAAATGTCTGATCAGAAACTTAATGGTTCTCCTGTGACTCCTAAGACTCAATCCAACAAGGTGGGAGTTAGGGGAGAAGAAAAGCACCCTAAATATCTAACAAGGCAATGACAGTTTCAGTACCAATAAGTATTTATTCATTGTATTTTCCCAGGGGAAAAAGAGGGGATGGAAAAAGGGTTAGCATGTGTTTTACAAAATGATAGCAAATGGGAAGGAAGTACCCAGCCAGAGTAAAATCAACCATCAAATAAACATTTCCCAGTGATGGGGTCACCAAAGCCCAGGGGGGGCTCAGTCTCCTCAGTTCAGGAGCAAGGAAAAGGGGCCAGGTAAAGAACAGACAGGTACATGCTTTCCTACCCTCCCTCCCCATAAATTCAAGATTTCACGCAAAACTTTGGTTTCTAGCAGTAAACATGGAATTACATTCGTTCGTCTCCTATTAAACAATCTTGTGGCCACTTTGACAGAAGTTTCTTGCACCTGCATAAAGTTCCTGAGTCACTTGGATATACATTCATCTTCCCTTTCTTGGTCTCCCAATCCCACTTTCTGCATGGAGTGCCCCCATCATTGTTTCCCTACCCTAGGATTAGAGATGAAAAGTGATACCGTATTATGTATTTGGCATGACTTCCATCAAGGAAGGGTCTTTACTCAGGAGGCTGCGAACAAGGATAGTGTCCTTAGCTTCAAGGTTTTTGCACAAATCATTTGAGAGTTGTGGAAACAATGCAAATTTAATGTGTACAGGCTTTTTATGGGGGTGGGAGGGTAGGTTATAGGGCAGAAGTTTGGGGGACAGAAGATCTGCTCCAAAATAGTTAACAGGGGAAGTGGAACACAAAAGAAAGGATGGCTCAAGACCGCAAGGGCCCCCCAAGCTTGCTTCAGATCTTTTTGCCTGGTGCAGAAGCTTTGTCAAAGATGCTTTGGCTATTTTTCTTGTACAAAGTTTGTAAACAATAAAACCCCAAAAGAACATGGAGAAGACCAACACATTATATTTACACAAACGAGGCCACCTGGCAATCACCAAATCAGCTATCCATGAAGTCCTACCAGCCCAAATATAACTAGAGGGGCAGCAGCTGGGGGAGGCAAGAACCCAGGCACCAGATGTGTTCTATTGCATTTGCCCTGATTCAGCACAGTGAGGTAGATTTGCAGTGATCCTATAAACAAGACCCCCTGGTCTCCCTGGCTAACCCCCAGTTGTAATCACTGCTGTTGCAGGGCAGGACACCGACTCTGGGCAACCACAGAGAAGCCATCCCTTGTGAAAGCCCAGGTGGTTCAAGAAGGATTTTAGTTCCTGTTTCCTATATCCACCCCTGGGCAGCTCAAGACGGATACAGATAATCGCTCTTAAAACCTATCCTTAGCCATTCTTTTTTAATCACACACACACCTGTGCACACACGCCCTGATGTGCATGGTTAGACCTAGCCCAATCTAGGGAAGGATAGAGCTGGCGTGCAAAGGGAGCCCTGTGCCCGAGGAATTAAGAGATCTAGAACAGGAATTCTTTCTCACCCTCTAGACAGCCCTCACCTGATATTGGTGATTTTTCAGTGCCTTTCCCCTGGCTCAGCCTCTCCTAACGTCGCTGCACCACCTTTGATGTTCAAACCAATTTCCAATCTTCCATTAGAAGGAGATCAATCATGGGGCGACCCAGCAAAGACCTAGTCTCCCGTCATAAGAGGACACTATGACAGAAAAGCCAGCTTTAATTGGCAAAACGAGGTAGTTCAGTAGGCTATACACTCCAAGTAGTTGTTCTCCCTGATGATAAAACAAAAAGTATCCCTGCTGTGCAGGCCTGGAGCTGCTGCCAGCTTATCCCTGAGATTGCTTGTGTACCTGAGAACACAGTGCAGGAATGAGGGCCTTAGATTACAATACACAAAAATACAAAACCAGAATATTTATATTACGAAAAAAAAAAGTTAAATGCACAAGATACGTCATTCGCACACAGCTAGTGCAGTTGGCATCCTGGAGAAAGTGGGGCCCAAGGTGCAGCTATCCAAGGGAGCAAATAAATAAAATCACATTGGCCCAGAATGGGGAGTGAGCTTTGAACAATTCTGCAGCTGCTCCCCCAGTCACCCCTTTTACCTCTTATCACAACCCACTGCTTGGGACAATTTTCAATAGCCTATCCCAAGAGTGGGTCATGAGGAAAAGATGTGGAAAACCCTGCCTTAGCCCCGAGAGTCCCTCCCACAGGCTCCGTGGCCATTGGGTCGGGTCCACCAATCTGGTCTCGTACTTAACCTTTTCCTTGTGGCATGGGGAACAGTCACATATCCTTTTCTCAAAGGAAAACAACTTCCCTATGCAGGCCAATTGCAAAATCCTCAGATCCTAGGGGTGGAGACTCAGATAAAACAAGCGGAGAGGGATTTCCCCCCAAAGCCCTCTCGTGCATCTGACAGAGCATGGTTAGAGTTCCTTTGCCTCACCCCTTCCCCCCACCAAGAGGAAGAGGGGGTGACGCTATGGATGGACCCCGGCCTGAGTTACATGGCAGTACCAGCTGCCCCCTACCCACCCTCCTGTCCCCACTTTCTCCACTTTGCCGATTGATGCCTGCTCCTCCAACTTCAATCACAGGATAGCCCCGCCCACTCCAGCTCAATTCTGGGCCTCTGGGAGCAGGGCAGGGGAGTGGACCTCTTCTTCATCCTCTCGAAAGTAGGCTGGCTTCCCCTGTGAGCTGGGGGCTTGCTGGGCCTTCAGCGGACAAGAGGCCACCATATGGCTGATGCTTTGGCAAAAGTGGCACTTCTTGGGCTGGGGTGGCAGCTTGCATTCCTTGGCATGATGGTCCAGGCCTCCGCAGTTGTAGCACCTAGCACAAAGCCAGACGGTCAAGTTGTGAGAAAAGAGATCAGAAGCCTTCAGTGGAGTAAGGGCGCCCAAGTTGGTCTAGGTCCTATTGCTCTATTTACTTCCCTGCATGGAGACAAAGCTCCTTATTTTTATAAAAGGAAAAACAGAAAGAGGTGATCTAAGTTCTTTCAAATCTGTTGTCTAGACGATCTCCCCAGTTTCATGCAACTTGAAGAAACGGGGATACCAAGAAAAGAATCATGGGCTCCCCCCGCCACCCGCACTGCAGGCCACACTAGATTCTACCATGACCTTAAAAAATCTGTACCTGCCATTCGTTAAAAGTATAGACGAAATTAAAGGAGTCAGACTGTAATTAATGGCCACTGAGTATGGAGCTAAGGTCCCAGAAGCCTGGAGACCTGGAGGTCCCAGAAGCCTGGAGACCTGGTACAGGCACCATCTCGACCCTGCTACTTTACTTTTTCATGCCCATTCTCTCCTTTAGTTCGTAAATACTGCTTGTGCCAAGAAGGAGCCAGTCACTAAGTGCTCTCCCCGGGCATCACCAAAGGTACCTCGAGCATCCACATGTTGCCAGTGACCACAGGCTTCATTTTTTTATCTTTGGCAACCTGGCGCAAATAATGGCCAGGTGGGAAGAGCGCCCCATCTCTGCCAACCCATATAAGCCAGTTTCCTACCTGTCGCCCTTTGATCTGCGCTTCTGCAGGTTCTTTCCTTTGGGGCGCCTCTCACTCCCAATGCAGAACACACCACCAGGCCCAGTGACTCGGATGGACTCCAGGCCTTTGGCAGACTTCTTAAAGGTGAATTCCACTGCCTCCCCCTCCTTCAGGCTCCGGAAGCCCTCCATGTGCAGCTTGCTCTGGGGGAGGGAAACACGGTTGATTTTTAAGCACCAGAAAGATAATGTTTTCACTGTTATCAGTGAAGAAACCGGTACTCAAAAGATCACTGCAACTATAAGCAAGAGACCAGCCTGACATTAACAAGAACAGCTATATGAACAGATGCTGGAACATCTTTTTTCTTAAAACACACCACTTACAGGCCCTCCCTGGTGGCGCAGAATCTAAAGCCACTTCTGCTTGAGTTCGATTCCCACCTGCCCTGGAAGTGACCACATAGTGCGGCAGACCTCTCCTGGCCCAGCCAATGCTCCCCGCTCTGTCTCTGGTGAAGCCTCTCACCGCCCCTGAGCCTCTGGCCACAGTGTACCCCAGTTCTGTATGCACAAATAAATCTTAAAAAAAAAAAAAAAAACTGATGTAAAAATAAACTATTATAATAGTATAAAAACACCCCACACATACCACTTACAAGAATTCAAGAAAAATTGCTATATATGAAACAGACCTGTCTACTTCCAAATGCCAAGATCAGGAAAAAACAAACTGAAGAAACCAAAGCAGTGCCAAATCTGGGCCTGTCTGCTGGTGCCGGGGTTGAGTCTCCACAGCCACAGCAGCACAAGTTCGAGCCCTGGCCAGGGAAGTGACCCAGATGGCACAGCAGACTTCTTCTGTATCACCCGCTGCGCCCTCAGCATGGAATTTTAGTGGATCCACCTGTTGTGCTCCCCACTGTCTCTGGTGAATCCTCTCACCCCCTGCACCTCTGGCCTGTACCCCAGTTCCTTTGTGCATATATAAAACAATGCCTGATCCTAGTTTGGACAGTGCACCAGGAAAAATACATCTATTGACACAATTTGCATATGGAAGGTAGATAAGCCTATCAACTATTCAATTTCCAGATTCTGATCACTGTGGATTATATAAGAAAATGGCCTGTTTTAGAAAATATACAGTAACATATTTAGGGATAGGAATGCCTGTAACTTATGGAGAAAAATGGAGTACAATGTTAACAGATGAAACTCTGTTTTAGTATTATTCTTGCAACCTTCTTCCCAATATGGAATTACATTAAAGTGATGTTACTGCTCTTTCCACACCACCATACTGGTGCCGTGAACCCCAAGAGCATCAAGGTGAAGATGGCAAACAAAGGCCAGGCTCTTGTTAGGTCTTGCTCCAAAGCCATCAACTGGTTTCTGACTGTGATGATGAAGCATGTTTACACTAGAGAATCTGCAGTCATCGATGACAAGCAAGCTGGGGACATTGTTGTGACGCTCACAGGAGGGTTTAAACAAGTGTGGAGTCATCAGCCCCAGATTTGATGTGTAATACAAAGATGTAGAAATGTCAGGCTAGCCTGCTTCTGTTGCCTCCGTTTGGTTCATTTTACTGAACACCAGTTACCATTACGGACCATGAAGAAAGAAGATGAAAACACAAACAAGGGAATATCCTGGGTGTCTTTTTCTCAGGGTGTTAATACACACGTGCAAATAAAACGCCTCTGGACAATAACAAAATAAAAAGATTTTACTGAAAATTGAAGGAAAAAGACAATGTGATATAAACTGACAGATCAGTGGATTAAAGACAGATTAGTGGATTCAGAAATCTATGTATATGGAGAAATCAACAATGCAATATTGTCGAGAAAATCAGTTTGGAACTAAAACCAGAATACACTTTTTATGTAGTATAGATGGGTAATACATTCCACAGGAATTCACTAGGTTAAGAAAATAAAATATAAGACAATTCAACTGATAAAACTACAAAAGGCCACTACTATCAAAAAGAAATCAGAACAGAATTTAAGTAGGTAATTTGCAAAAGACTTTGCACAATACCTCTGTCCAATGTGTTGTTGATAAAAAATCGTAGCCACTGAGAAGAATGTAAAGTTATGTTTGCTGCTTCCTTCTGACCCTAAGTAATGTCTAGTATACTTTACCATGAATTCGTGGAGGCAGATTTTTATTATCTGACTTAGAAAAAATAACCAGGAGCTTTCCTGGGGCACAAGGGTTAAGCCTCAGCCCTGTCAAGCTATCAGCAGCCATTACAGATGAGTTCAATCCCCAGCCAGGCACAGCAGACCGCTCCTGTCTCACCCGCTGCCCACGCCGGCAGTGCACTTCAGTCAATCTGCCTGTTTTGCTCCTCTTTCTGTCTCTGGTGAATCCTCTCACCGCCACCCCCCACACTTCTGGCCTGTACCCTAGTTGTTGTATGCAGAAAAATATATATATTTTTTAAAGACAATCACATAATCCTGTTAAAGGAAAAAGGCTTAGAAAATGTACAAACAAGTGATTACAACTCCATGAGTTCCTACACCAATATTTGAAAATACTGTCACTTGCAAATAAGTGGCAACCATCGACAAAAAGGGAGGGAGAAGCCCTTAACACAGCAAGTGGTGAAACTGGGGTCAGAAGAACCCTAGATTCCTAACTTGAAGCCCACAGCCCATGCCACGTGTCCCACCCCTGCGTGGACAGGTCAGCAGAGGCACGCCTCTCCCAGGCTCTAGCCAGCTAGACTCCTCTAGGGCCTATTAAGACACCCACAGAGCACGTGGTATAGTACTTAGGAACTTTAGCTCAGAGGAGGAAAAGGGACACCCGCACACTTCACCCTGGCTGGAGAGAACACAAGTAAACAGTATTTTAAGCAGGGGAAGAGGGAGTGAATATTGCAAACCGGGACATGAGTGATCCCCAATTCCTCAATCCTTTAGATTTTATTCATTTAGTGGGTACTGGTTAAGAACTCAGGCCCAGGTGCCAGATGCATCTGGGGGTGACAATTTCTGGCTACAGGGGCTTGGTTCATGATTCACCAGTGGGCCTGAAATCCTTCTTTCTCGGAAGAGGAACTCCAGTGTCCAACCAAGACCATGTGGCCACGGGATGTCAAGAGTATGTGTGCTCAGCTCTAGTTCTCCACAGAAACATTCCAAAGCAGTAGATCCTCTTGTTATTTTCTATTCCCACAGAAAGCCAAGGAGGTAATGGCTCAAGCCATTCCAATGTGGGGGGGGGGGGAGAGAGATGGCTTTAAAGCAGGAAACAGAACCCTGGAGGAGAAAGGTGAAAAGACCCATCCTTCCTGCTGCACAGCTATGACCTGGATGTGACGTCAGAGGGGTCTCCGCGAGCTGGGACAGGAGATGGCAGAATCCGGTGTCAGGACATCTTGGAGGAGTCGCAGACCGCTCCTGTCCGCCTGCTGGCTACTGGACTCCAGCTGGGGTGCTGCTGCTGGTTTGGGGTCACCACAGACAAGGGCTTGGAATCCGCGGCAACAGTCCCAGGGGCATGCCCCCCTTTCTGCTAGCTGGCCAAACAGGGCGAAACCAGACTGTAGGTGTGTTGGGAAACTGCATGCATGACACATAGCGAACCCCTACCCTGCCTGCCACATACACAAATCCTCAGAACGGCGTGATCTACCTCCTCTTCTGGATCAGGAGAGACTAACCAACAGACAACGGTCAAGAAACTGGAGGTAATCACTAACTAGTTGGGGACACTCAGGAAAATTGCTCGAGTCCACACAAGCCTCCACGCAGAGGCTGGGGTGAGAACGAGGATAATACCAGCCCGGACAGCGTGAAGGGACTAACCCTCTCAGGTCCTCCACTCCATCACTGAAGGATTTAAGGTCTGTGAAGGCTCTCAAAGAGTTAACCCCCCTTCCCTGCAAGTCACCTCACCACTGGTCAAGAGTTAGACTGGTGGTCTCCAGGGTGGCTCCCTGCCCCCCAAACCCGCCCTTTCCAGCACATAGTTTGAATTCCTCTCTTATCAGATAGGTAATCAGCTTGCAGCCCGAGTCAGCCTCACAGGCCAGCATCAGAAAGGAGCCTGAAATTCTTGCCACCACCACCACCCTACCCCCAACCACACACAAAGCAGAGCCCCGCCCCTCTCCCCATCTCCTCCAAAAAAGAAAGAGCCTGGGGGGAGGGGCAAGGCTTGAACTCCCCCAATAGAGCCCAGCCCCAGGAAACAAAGAGTTGACACTGGTTGGTTCTGGTGGTCAGATTCCTGGAGTTCCAGGGCTGCAGAATACGCCCCCACCCCACCCCCCAACCATTCACCACATTCATCCGTTCCTTCCTTCCTCTTCCCTTTGGGGTTATGGTCATGGTGAGAGAAATGGATACAGAGACACCTTTCTTCCCTGCCAAAGTCACCGCCAGCAGCCATCTTCCCTTCTCTGCAACCTGCTGTCCTGTCCTTCCACATAGGCCTGCCGCCAAACCCCTGAAGCAGGAAACTGCATTAGGGTTATTTATTCAGGTGAATTATTTTAGGGCCCTCCCTGGGGGTGCAACGCATTAGGATGCAGCACTGCATGTGAGCCACAGTCGCTTCATTGAGAGTTCGATCCCTGCCTTCCCCCCAGGTGACCATATGGTCTGGCAGACCTCTCCTGACCCTCCCGCTGCTCCTCTCAGCAGTCTATTTCCTCAATCTACCTGTTCTGCTCCCCACTCTGTCTCAGGTGAATGCTCTCACTGCCCCTTCTCCTCTGGCTTGTACCCCAGTTCTGTATGAATAAATAAATAAATCTTTTTTTTTTAAATAAATTATTTTAAAGTCCTATCCCAACTTATTCAAAGGAGGAGGGCAGGGGTCCCCATCTCATAGGAGAAAATGGCATATAAGTAGACAAACAGTTGCAGAAGACATTTGGGAGCCGGCAATGGCAGGAAGGAATGGGACCAGTTAAAGTACTTAAGTCTTCTGCTCCCTGAATACCTGACCACGTTCCTAGTCCACCCTTCTCCGGCAACCCATCTACTTCCACTATGAAGTTGGGACAAACTTTGCTTCTTTAATCATCAGTAATAGCAGCACATCAGATTTATAGAAACTGAGCCCCTTTCTAGCTCTAAGGTTACCCACTTTTTACTACATCACACCTTTAGTACAAAAGAGTTAGAATTTCAGGATACTGTTTTGGTCACAGGATTGTCCATAAAACATCCATG